CATCAGCAGTGTATGAGGGGTTCCAATTTCTCCACAGCCTCACCAGCACTTACACTATCTGATCTTTTCTTTCTTTTCCTTTAGTGTTTTTTATTTTTATATTTTTATTTTTTGAGACAGAGTCTGACTTTGTTGCCCTGGGTAGAGTGTGGTGGCATCATAGCTCATAGCAACCTTAACCTCTTGGGCTCAAGCAATCCTCTTGCCTCAGTTTCCCAAGTAGCTGGAACTACAGGCACCCGCCACAACACCCAGCTATTTTTAGAGACAGGGTCTCATTCTAGCTCAGGCTGGTCTCCAGTTCCTGAGCTCAAGCAGTCCACCTGCTTCAGCCTCCTAGAGTGCTAGGAGTACAGGTGTGAGCCACCACAACTGGCTATCTGATTTTTTTCAATATAGCCATCCTGGTGGGTGTGAAGTGCTGTCTCAGTGTGCTTCTCCCCTCAAGCTTTATTGAGGTATAATTCACAAATAAAAATTAAATATACTTAAGGTGTACAAAGTTGATGATTTGATGTATGTGGTAGTTGCCAGGGGGTAGGGGGTAGGGAATGGGGAGATATTGAATATATGATTACCACAATCATGCTGAAGCCAATTCACATATCTATCACCTTGTGTGTTACTTTTTGCATATATGTGGTAAGGACACTTAAGATCTACTCTCTTAGCATATTTCAGTGATCCAATACAGTAGTCCCCAACCATTTGGCACCAGGGACTGGGTTCATGGAAGATAGTTTTTCCACAGACTGGGGGTGGGAGGGATGGTTTGGATATGAGTCTGCAAGCAATTGATTTATTATGGTCTCTGCAGTCAAACCTTTCTGCTAAGGGTAATCTCTATCTGCAGCCGCTCCCCAGCACTAGCATCAGTGCCTCAACTCCACGTCAGATCATCAGGCATTAGATTCCTATAAGGAGCTCACAACCTAGGTCCCTCACATGCACAGTGCTATGAGAATCTAATGCCACTGCTGGTCTGGCAGGAGCAGAGGTCAGGTAGTGAGTGACGTGAGTGTTGGGCAGCAGCTGTAAATACCGTTGAGCTTCATTTGCTTACTTGCCACTTACTTCCTGCTGTGTAGCCTGGTTCTTAACAGGCCATGGACTGGTACTGGTCTATGGCCCAGGGTTAATAATACAGTATTATTAACTATAGTCACTATGCTGTGCATTAGATCTTTGGAACTTATTCATTTTATAAGGTTTATACCTTTTTTTTTTTTTTTTTGAGACAGAGCCTCAAGCTATTGTCCTGGGTAGAGTGCTGTGGCATCACAGCTCACAGCAACCTCCAACTCCTGGGCTCAAGTGAGTCTCCTGCCTCCGCCTCCCAAGTAGCTGGTACTACAGGCACCTGCCACAACACCCAGCTAATTTTTTGGTTGCAGCCGTCATTGTTGTTTGGCGGGCCCGGGCTAGATTTGAACCTGCCACCTTAGGTGTATGTGGCTGGCGCCTTAGCCACTTGAGCCACAGGCGCCGAGCCAGGTTTATACCTTTAACCAATCTCTTTCCATTCCCATTCTCCAGCCCCTGGCAACCAATTCTCTGCTATGGTACATATAGTATTTGTTGTTTTCTCCCTGGCTTATTTCACTTAGCATTTAATGTCCTCTAGGTTCATCCATGAAATCACAAATGGCAATATTTACTTCTTTTTTAGATCTGAATAATATTCCACTATGTGTGTGTATACACACACACCACATTTCTTTATCCATTCGTCTGTCTATGGACATTAGGTTGTTTCCATATCATGGCAAATGGGAATCATGCTTTAATGAACAGAATGCACATTGTGGTGCAAGATATTTCTTTGGGATCCTGATTTCCTGTGGATATATACCCAGAAGTGGAATTGCTAGATCACATGCTAGTTCTAGTTTTAACTTTTTGAGGAACTTCTGTATTGTTTTCCATAATGACTGCACCAATTTACATCCCACCAACAGGGTACAAGAGTTGTCTTTTCTCCACACTCTCACCAAGACTTGTTACGTCATCTTTTTGATAATAGTCATCCTAACAGATGTGAAATAATAGTTCATTGTAGTTTTGATTTGCATTGCTTTGATAAGTGGTGATGCTGAGCACCTTTTCCTATCTCTGTTGACCAAACATATGCTTTTTTTGAATAAATGTCTGTTCAGGTCCTTTGTACATTTTTAAATTGTATTGTTTATTGCTGTTGCTTTATATGAGTTCCTTATATGTTTTGGATATTAACCCCTTATCAGATATATGGTTTGTAAATTTTTTTTTGTATTCCATAGGTTGTCTTTTCATTTTGTTGATTTTTTTCTTTTGCAGTATAATTGTGATTTTGATTGGCATTTGCCCTGATGACTAATGTGTTGAATGGTTCTTTTAAAATAAACTTCATACATTATAATTCCTTAATATGTCTTACATATTTTTTAATCTATAAGTTGACTATTCATCTCTCATTTTTTTTGCATTTTGTTTATGTTTTGATGCTAGTATAAATGAAATTTAAAGGTTTTTGTTTTCCAGTTTGCTGCTGTATATAGAAGATTGTCTGTCAGTGTTGTATCTTGAGGTCTTACAGAAATTAATTTATTCTAGTTTTGTTGTAGGTACTTTGAAATTTTTTATGTATGTAAACAATCATGTTGCTTGTGAATGGAAATAGTTTTAGTTCTTTCTTTCCAATCTTTATGCTTATTTTTTCTTTGTCTTATTATCTGGACTAAGACCTCTGGTATAAAGTTAAATAGGAGTGGTGATAGCAGACATCCTTGCCTTGTTTCAGATCATCTGAAGCAAGTATTTGGTGTTTCATAATTAAGTCATACCAAGGGAGTTCCCTTCTTTTACTAGTTTGATGAGAATTTTTGATGTAATAGTGATTGAACTTTGTCATGCTTTTTCTGAATTTTGAGGGATGATTATATTTTATTCTGTTATCGTGGTGAATTATAGTGATTAATTTTTCTAATGTTAAACCAGCCTTGCATTTCTGGGATAAACCCCACCCTTACTTGATTGTGATGTATTATTCTTTTTATATATTACTAGATTTGATTTGCTAGTATTTCCTAAAGCTGGGCCATGCTTTCCAACCCCTGGGCCATGGACCAGTAGTGGTCTGTGGCCTGTTAGGAACCAGGCGCACGGCAGGAGGTGAGCAGCAAGCAAGTGAGTGAAGCCTCATCTGTCTTTACAGCTGCTCCCTATCACTTGCAAAGCCACCTGAACTGCACCTCCTGTCAGATCAGCAACAGCAGTAGATTCTCATAGGAGTGAGAACCCCGCTGTAAAGTGCACATGGGAGGGATCTAGGTTGTGAGCTCCTAACGAGAATTTAATGCCCCCATTCCCAGCCCCACCCCAAGTCTATGGAAAAATTGTCCCTGGTGCCAAAAATGTTGGAGACCACTATCCTAAAGGATATTAGTGTCTGTGTTTATGAGAAATATTGGTCTTAGAGTTTTTTTTCTCCTATAATGTTTTTGTTAGGTTTTGTTATAAGATTTATGTTAGCCTCATAAAATAAGTAGATGTTCTCTCCTCTGTTTCCTGAAAGGTTTTGTTTAATATTCGTATTATTTCTTTCTTAAATGTTGGGATTTGCTTCTTTCTTTAATTCTATTTTGATGAAGTTTTAAACACTTTGCCATTGGCAATAAGCACATGTATTATGATATGTTGACTCTTACTGTCATGGATAAAATGTCCCTCTTCATCTCTGATAAGACTTTTTGATTTGAAATGTGTTTGAATGATTCATTTTCATCTAACTAGTGTTTCTTTGGTATATCTCTATCTGTTCTTTTATGTTCAACCTATCTTTATATTTAAAATGTAGCTTTTGTAGACAGCATGTAATTGGGTCTTGCTTTTTTATCCAGCTTAACAATCTGCCTTTTAATTGGAATGTTTAGTCCATTTACATTTAATGTAAGTATGTATATGATTGGATTTAGGTCTGCCATGTTATCATTTGTTTTCTATTTGCCTTACATACTTTTAATTCCTCTGTTCTTCCTTTCCTGGCTTCTTTAGGGTTAATCCAGTAATTTTTAGCATTTCATTATAATACTTTAGCCTTTTAGCTGTACTTTTAAGCTCTGTGTGTGTGTTTAAATCATACAGTTTTACCTTATTGCAGTCTGTTTAGAATTAATATTATAATCTTTCATGTAAAATGCTGGAATATTGCAAAAATATAGCTCCATTTCCCTGTCCTTTGTGCTGTTTCATATAGAGTATATTTAGATACACTATAAACCCCACAGTACTGCGGCAATAGTTTGGCTTTAAATACTTCTGTGCGTTTCAAAGAAAGTAAGAGAAAAAATACGTTGCTTTACCATTTTTGGTGTTCTTCAGTGTTTCCTGCACATCCAAGTCCATTGGATGTTTTTCCTCAACAGCCTAAAAATATCCCTTTAACATTTCTTGTAGGTCTGCTGGGGGCAGATACATTTAGATGTTATTTATATGAAAATGTTTTTCTTTTGCATTTGTTTTTGAATAACATTTCTGTTGGATATAGAGTTTGGGTTGACAGTGTTAGTTATTTTGCTTTGATTTATTTTAAATTTGTTGCTTTAAAGACATTGTTCTGTTGTCTTCTGGCTTTCATTGTTCAAAGTCAGTACCTTTCATGTCATTCTTCTATATGTAAAAGTGTCATTTTATTTCTGCTTACAAGATTTTCTCTTTATTTTTGTCCATGTTGTCAATAAATAGGGTTCCCTTAGTATTTACTCTGCTTGGGGTTTGCTGAGTTTCTTCAATCTTTACTCATACATTTATATTTTTCACCAAATTGGAAAATTTGGGGTCATTATTTTGTTACACGAGATTTCGTGCCCTTTTTCTCCTTGGTAGTCTGCTTGATATCATCCCACATGTCACTAAGGTCTTATTCGATCTTTTTCCTCTGTGTTCTTCAAGTTAAATTATTTATATTGACCTGTCTTCAAGTTCACTGACTCTTTTATCCATCCTCAGTCTCTGCCAGTCCATCAAATATTTCATTTTAGTTATTTTTTTCAGTTGTAGAATTTCTATTTCCTTTTTTTAAATTATTTTCATTTCTCCTGCTGAGATTCTCCATTGTCCATTCACTATAACTATGTACAGGATGTCCCCAAAGTCACCATACATAGGGAAAAATGGGAAATTGTAGCTAAATGTACCCTTATTTACAAATTATTTATTATAAAATTTTATAAAATATTTACATATATTCTCTACACATTGGCGACTGCTATCTACACGCGCAGAGTCTTCTCTCTCACTTGTGCAGGACACATTCCAAGATGCCTGTTTTCCTGTGGGTGGCGACTGAGGGAATAGCCACCCACAGAGGGAATTTCCCTCTGTGTCCTTGACTGTATGTATAATACATAGAGGAGGTCCTTGTGTGCTAACAGCCAGGTTCTCTTTTTTTGACTTCACCATGGGTCACATTTTCCTCTTGGTATTGTATGTGTAGTAAATTTTATATACTCATCATTGTAGTAGAGACTTTGGATTCTCTATGTTTCACTGAAGAAAAATGAACTTTGTTCTGGCAGGCATTTAACCTGGCTGCTCACGTTCCAAAATGTCTACCCTACATTGAGCAGCAAAATCTCTGCTTAGTTTTTTTAACTTCTAGCTGCTGCGTTTTGCCTGGCCTTCTGGAGTCTTTCCAGAGCATGTGTGGTTCAGTGGCTGGAATTGAACTGAGTTCATACAGAAATTTTGGGGCTGGTTGTCTTTGTGGCTCCCTTGTTTCTGCATTTTTGCCTAGTCTTTAGCAGCTCTGAACTTTGTCTTCTGACAACTCAATTCTGTAGGAATATTGCTTTTTGCCACCCAGCACTAAAAAGACTGGGCAAAAACCCCACAAACATTCAAATCTCACTCATGGAGTAATTGGAGCTACCTGATTTTGGTAGCTCTCCAGTCATTCAGAAAGTTTTGTTTTGGTCCAGATTTTACAGTTTTCTCAAGGAGAAGTGAGCCCAGCCCAGCTACTGGAAGACTCCTCCAAAAGCAGGAGCTCTTACTCTGTCTTATCATCTGCTTTTCTGCAGTTAATAATATAACGTGAACATTTTTCTACATAATCATACATTCTTCAACTATCTTATTTTTAATGTAGTATTGCATTCTGTGGGCATACTACAGTTTATTTGATAATTTCCTACCAGTTTCAACTGTAGTCATGTGCCACTCACAACATGGACTTTGGAGACAGTAGTGGTCCTGTAAGATTATAATCCCATGCTTTTACTGTACCTTTTCTATGTTTAGGTAAGTTGAGATACACAAATACTAACCAGTATGTTATAGTTGCTGACAGTGTTCAGTACAGTTACAAACTAGACAAATGGTGATGTTGTCACCTAATAACAACTTTCTGAGAACATATTCCCGTTGTTAAGCTACGCATGACTGCATTCTCATTTTTGCTCTTGTAAATAATATTGATGAATATTCTTATAGTTATATCCATGGTTATTTCCTTAGGATAAAGTCACAAAATTGCTGGGTCAGGTATGTAATCTTATAGTTTTTCCAAGGTATCCTTTAGTGTTAGTATACCTCTCATGTTTAGAAGGTTGTTTTTAATAGCACTTGTTTCTAACTAAGAACGTTATATTAATGTTGGACATCTCAATGTGAAACTGTCTCATATTCATATATCTTTCAGTCTTTAAAGTTTGGAATCTAACCTGGGTCCTTTCTGAATTTTCTACAATTTTTGTTTTAGAGTCCTGTTCGATTTGATACTTTTGATAGCCTTTCACTTAGTATTCCAGCTGCCACATGGGTATGTACTGATCTATGGTTTACTTTGGGTCTCTTTTGGAGATTTTTCAACCTGAAAGGGCTTTGAGGCATTTATATTCAGACACGCAGTTAGTTGAAACTTATCTTTAACGTGTTGTACCGCAGCCTGATTATGGAAGAGAGGAAGGTGGATGGCTTTTCTCTTACTACAGAAATTTTGGCTTTTTGAATGCATACAACACATATCTCCTCACACCTTCTTGATTTCAAAGATATTTAAAACAGTGTGAAGTCCATATTTTCTGCTGTGTTACAACCTCATACTTTTGAATTTGTCAGTAGTATCTGCTTAGAGTGGCTTGAGCCCCACATTTGTTCAGGAAATATCTAGTTCTGTCTGTGAAATTTTATTGCCAGTATATACCAAATTAAAGCTCTGGGATTCACACTGCCGTCTGTTAATAGTTTCATTGTAACTCTCCTTTGAATTGTAATGGTTTTCTTCTCATGCTGTAGGGTCATCCGTTAACCCTGGACCACTGCCTTCACCACTTTATATCCTCAGAATCAGTGCGAGATGTCGTATGTGACAACTGTACAAAGGTAGGCATTGAGCTCCCAGTGTCCTCTCCCACCTGGCCTCTTGCCTGTAAAGCGCCTCTCACACCGCTGGCCCTGAGCTCTTCTGACTGTACCCAGGAGATCTTTTCAGGCACAGCCATTTCTATTGAACTTCATTTGGAAATTGGCAGCCCATGGACCAAGTCTCTTTCCCAGATGAGTTGTGTTTCCTCCCCAGAGCATTTGAAGAAAAAATCTGAATGTCATACTTTAAGAATGAGATCTGCCCTTTTCAATCCCATTTATTTCATACCTTTTTACTCATGCTACCTGCCTGACTACCCTAAGTAATCAAATTTCACCCTCTAAATTAAAAGGAATTGTATGTAATAGAATTTTTGAAGACAGAACAAAATAGATCACATGCAAGTGTCAGACTTTCAGTGTTGATTCTTCATTTTCTCTTCCCTTCACTGTTACTGCTAAGTAATGATTAAGAGGAATCAAGAAAATAACTCGGCTTGGCGCCTGTGGCTCAAGCGGCTAAGGCGCCAGCCACATACACCCAACGTGGCGGGTTCGAATCCCCAGCCCGGGCCCACCAAAACAACAATGACGGCTGCAACCAAAAAATGGCCAGGCATTGTGGCGGGCGCCTGTGGTCCCAGCTACTTGGGAGGCTGAGGCAGGAGACTCGCTTGAGCCCAGGAGTTGGAGGTTGCTGTGAGCGTGATGCCATGGCACCCTACCCAGGGGGGATAGCTTGAGGATCTGTCTCAAAAAAAAAAAAAAAAGAAAGAAAAGAAAATAACTCACAAATAATTGGGCAGCTGAGTTCATTTCAGCAGGTAGCAGTTAAGTATGAATTAAAGGCAGCTATAACATCAGCCTCATCTGCATCTCTCCATGGGTGACCATGGGTGGAGAACTGTTGTTTCTTTTATTTCAGATTGAAGCAAAGGGAACTTTGAATGGGGAAAAGGTGGAACACCAGAGGACCACTTTTGTTAAACAGTTAAAACTAGGCAAGGTGAGCCCATGCTACACACTGTGTTGGCTTTGCTTTTAAGGACTCCACATGCCTGCTCCTGAGACAACACTTCTTTCTGGTTTTTCTCCCACCTGTAGATCCCACAGTGTCTGTGCATCCACCTGCAGCGGCTGAGCTGGTCCAGCCACGGCACACCCCTGAAGCGCCATGAGCACGTGCAATTTAATGAATTCCTGATAATGGACATCTACAAGTACCACCTCCTTGGACATAAACCCAACCAGCACAACCCTAAACTGAAGGAGAACCCAGGGCCTGTCTTGGAACCACAGGATGGGCCAGCACCACCCAAACCAGGTGGGTGCTGATGCATCAGGAATTCTCAGCACAGAGAAAAGCAATTTGGCAACACCACTTTCTGGGTCCCTTATGCCATGAGTGCCAGGCTTGTACAGTGGTTTGCTTAAATTCTTGAGAACAACAGGATTGCAGGTAGACGAGGGAAGATTTCTTAAAAGAAGGTAAAATTACATTGAAATGAGATGTATAGTTTTAAAAACTTTTTTTTTTTCGAGACAGAGCCTCAAGCTGTCCCCCTGGGTAAAGTGCTGTGGCATCCCAGCTCACAACAACCTCCAACTCCTGGGCTCAAGCGAGTCTCCTGCCTCTGCCTCCTAAGTAGCTGGGACCACAGGCACCTGCCACAACGCCTGGCTATATATATATATATTTTTTTTTGCAGCCATCGTTGTTGTTTGGCGGGCCCAGGCTGGATTTGAACCCACCACCTTAGTGTATGTGGCTGGCGCCTTAGCCACTTGAGCCACAGGCACTGAGCCTAAAAACTTTATTACAGATGAAAAAGTGTAGGGAGAGAACTAAACATTGCAGTCTTGCTTTTCCAGTGAACTTCTTTCTTTTTTTCCTTTTTTTCTCTTTCAATGCAGTCATCTCACTTATACAGGAAATGAGGGGAGGCCATGTCCTGGCGAAAAAAATCACAGCATCTTATTTGGGTTGCTATGGCTTCTTTACTGAATTATTTATCTAATTCCATTACTGTCATCATCTGAGGTGAATCATTGAATTGGGTCCCAGTTAAGGCAGGCAGCTGTCATTACCCCCAGTCTTACTGATGAGGAAACTGAGGTTCCACATGGGTAAATGATTGGTTAGGCCAAGGGCAAACAGCATGTAGAAGAAATGGCACTAGAATGTAGTGTTGGGGCAGGGTTTAGAGGTATCTTATGTGACACGCTGAGATACAGAGTTCTACTTAAGGAAAACCCACTCACTATAAGTGTTTACTGCCTACATGCTGCCCCCAGTTAAGTCAGGATTGTCTTCCTGTACCCCTATACATTCCTGACTTACTATCCTATACCCCTTTTGTTCTTTCTGTGACCACAGTTGCATGGCCTAGCAAGACATGGATTTGGGGAGACTGTGTTTGGCTCTTTCTCACCAGGTCATCAGATTAACGTTGGGAACAGCAAGGTAGGGAGCAGGCTTAGTCCTTGGCCCTTGTTTTAAAACAAGGACATCTCCCAATTATTTGGAAAGCTGAGGCAGGAGGATCACTTGAGCCCAGGGGTTCAAGACCAGACAAGGCAACATAGCGAGACCCCCATCTCATTAAAGACAAAACAAAACAGGAGTGGTGCCTGTGGCTCAAAGGAGTAGGGCACCAGCCCCATATGCCAGAGATGGTGGGTTCAAACCCAGCCCTGGCCAAAAAAAAAAAAAAGACAAAACAAAGACCTCTTTACCCTACCTTTTTCCTCTTCTGGACTGGGATACAGGTCCACTATAGTTTAGACCCACTGGTTAAATGTCAGCAGTGAACTACTTGCTACATAAAGGCCCCTAAATATGACATTTGAAAGGAGAAGACATGTAAATATCACCTTAATTATTTTATCTACATCCATAAACATTTTTTAAATGTTGTTATGTGTTGGTATACCTTTGAGGATCACAGAATTAAAGAAAAGAGAATGTTGTGAGGCTTTTTTGAGACAGAGTCTTACTCTATGTCACCCTGGGTAGAGTGCAGGGGCCTCATCATAGCTCATAGCAATCTCAAACTCCTAGGCTCTAGTAATCCTCCTGCCTCAGCCTTCTGAATAGCTGGGACTACAGGCACACACCACAATGCTAGGCTAATTTTTCTATTTTTATTTCCTATTTTTAGTAGAGATGGGATCTCATTCTTGCTCATCAGGCTGGTCTCAAACTCCTGAGCTCAAGCGATCCTCTTGCCTCAGTCTCCTGGAGTGCTAGGATGACAGACAGGCATGAGCCACTGCACCCAGCCAGAAAAGCAAATGTTTAGATCAGTGATTCTCAACACAGAACAGTTTTGTCTCCCGAGGGACAGAACTGGGAGATGTCTTCTGACATTTTTGGTTGTCAAAACTATGAGACAAGGTACAGCTGGCATCTCATGGCTAAGGGCCAGGGATGCTGCTAACTATTCTGTAAAATATAGCAAATCCCCCTACCACAAAGAAGATGATCCAGCTCAAAACATTGTTAATAACGCCAAGGTTGAGAAAGCCTGCTCCCTTAGGTTAGGTAGGTCAAAAGCCAGTAAGTTAGTTAGTGCTTAACTTTGATACATGTTCCCAAACAGGGGTGAGAATCTCAAAGACTCACAAAGTTGTCAAGAGCAGCGATAGACATGAAGCTAGATACACTTTTCCTATTTGAGGTTATGGCAGCCAGGGACAAAAAGGTAGGCAACATTACAAATCAGTACCACACAAAAGGAAAGTGTGTTTGTTCTTTGCTTTATATGGGGAGTTAATTTCCAAGGTAATAAAAACCATGTTTCATTAACCCAAAGCCATTGCTAATTCTTCTTGACTCTGATCCTTTTCTCTTACAGTTCCAAATCATCCAGGGGCCCCCAAAACACAAATTTTTATGAATGGCGCCTGCTCCCCATCTTTATTGCCACCCCTGCCTGCCTCAGTGCCCTTCCCTCTCCCGGTTGTTCCTGACTACAGGTGAGCGCTTTTCCCAAGCATGTTCTGCGTTCATTGCAGGCTGTGGCTTCTCTTAGTTTCTAAAATTAGCTTCTCATAGAAATGAATTAACAGAAATTTAGAGATGAATTTTTTCTTTAATTTTGAGGTAGAATTTCACTTTGCACATTCTCATTTATTTTTATCCAAAATGGAACTCATTTTAAAAATAAGAATTATAAAAACACATAAAAAATATATATGTGTATATACAAGTACATATACATGTATAAATAAAGTATAAAGAAGAAAATTTAAAATGACTTGGGATACCACTTTAATAACTAAATCTTTAGAGTCATCTACTCTCTGAAGTTATGTGTGTGTACACACATACACACAATATGCATGTACACATGTACTCATGTGATACAAACATCCATACAGGATGCACAGAGACTCGTAGAACAGACCTTTGCTGTGCCAGTGAATGTAGAACTGTATTATGATTGTATGATATTCTGTTGTATGCATGTACTGTTCTGTCAATCCCTTATCATTTTAACCCCTAAGATCTTTTTTGTTTTTAGCCTGTAAGTCCATTTTTGTTGTATCTGTAAACCACTGGCATTTGTTCCCACTATTCAGCTCATCTACATACCTCTTCCGGCTGATGGCAGTTGTTGTCCACCATGGTGACATGCACTCTGGACACTTTGTCACTTACCGACGATCCCCGCCTTCAGCTAAGAACCCTCTCTCAACCAGCAACCAGTGGCTATGGGTCTCTGACGACACTGTCCGCAAGGCCAGCTTGCAGGAGGTCCTGTCCTCTAGCGCCTATTTGCTATTCTACGAGCGAGTCCTTTCCAGGATGCACCAGAGTCAGGAGTACAAGTCTGAAGAATGACTGCCCAGCCCCTGAGCTAGAGCCAATGGCACTGTCCAAACTTCCCAGGAAAAAAACAAAACCATGCTGCGTGTGTGCACAAGCAGCCCCAGTAGAGCCCTCTACCCTCCAGTGTGTTCTAAGAGCAGGCTTCACTCAGGAGCCAGTGGCCCCGACTCATACCAAATCAGCCTCCCTGAATAGCTCTGCTGGCATGCACTGGAAGGTGCCATCATGTTAGGAAAGCATTTGCTATGTCCAAAGTGTCTTTACTCATCAGTTATAGGTAATTACAAGAAACCAGATTCCAGAAGCCACTTTTTCACATTGTAATATGTCAGGTGTTCTCAGAGGGGAATTACCTTTGTCTAATCCTCTGACATTTCAGCATAGATCTTTTACTTATAATAAGCAGGTCCATAAAAATTGTTGACAAAAATTAGTGAAATTATTAAAGGCAACAATTTAGAAGAAAAAGTGCCTTTCACTTTTGATTGCTTTGGTAGCACATACACTCTGAAATGGCCCTTCCAAGTTACTCAAAGGGTAGCAAAGGGACAGTTAAAAGATGCCTAAAGAACGCCTCTTTCCCCTTTTTTGTATGCCTTTTCTAATCTTTGGATTCTTTCTATGTCATAAAGACTCATCTGCCAGTTCTACCCCGAGGAAATTGTTTTCACTACTGTGTCAGCTGTAAGTGAAATGCTTGTTGCTTTTATCTTTTATAATGGACTAAAAGATGCAATGATAGAATACCATAAACTGTGTGACTAGCTGGAATGAGCAGTATCCATGCACCACCTATGATTCCTCTGCTCTGTAGAAAACTCTTTATTATACAGGGATCCACTGTGGATTGTTATTGTTAATATCATCTGTCTATTACCCATGCAGAGCTCCTAAGCTTTGTGAGTAGGAGCTTGGGGCTGTATAAAACTCAATCCCTGCCTTGAGTTGAAAGCTGGTTTAGAAAAGGAGGGTACTGCAATCTCTCTGGACCTGTTTCCTCATTTGTAAAGTGAAGGGTAGATTCCATGACCTCCAGTATCCAGCCCTTTTCCCCAAAAGAAGAAAGCAGCTTCTGACTTTAAAACACATAACTATAGCTGACATCTAGTATTGTCATTTTATTATAGGTCCATATTCTAAATTTATTCGTTTTCAGTAGCCTAATACAGAAAGAGTATATTGAGCATTCTCTTCCCTCATGAATACAGCCCAGGGCAGAAGGAATTTTGATGACACAGTCGTTACCTGTTTTAGCTAGATTTTTAATTTAAAAAAAGGATACCAAATCCAAACTGACTCTTCAGAAATAAGATTTGGAATTAGATCTTTCCAAAGGGTCACCTGAGGTAAGGCTAAGAAACTACTTCCTCCGCGGGGAGTGGAGGACGCTTCCTGACCATGCCTTGGTCATCAGCTCAGAGTGCAAAGAGCCCAGGTGATCATCATTCTGTCTGGCTCAGGCTGCATCCTGAGGCCTCTGTAACTCTCTCCCAACAGAACATACTGTGAAGGTTCTCCCAACCATGGGTATCGGGGTGGAAGGAGCAGCTTGAACCATCTCATCCAATCATCCCCGACCCACTCAGGCCTTGGCTTTGATGCTAAAATGAACACGTTTTACTGGAGTCTGGTTGAAAATGCCCAATTGTGTGACCTTAAAAATGGATTGCAAAGTTGTAGCTTTGAATAATTGCTGTTCTGCCACTGCCTACTCTATGAAATCTGCCATTAAAGAGATGCAAGAAAGGGAACAAGCCTTTGATCATGTGGTTGTGAACAGATCTTTGGCCAGAGGCCAGGGTTTGAGCCAAGGTAGTGAATGTGAACAGTATCTGTGCAAAGTCTCTTAACCTGACTTCTTAAAGCTGACTTCCTCATTTTGTAAATTATTAGGCACTAAGAAATCTGATTTCTAGTTTTAAATTATTTAAAAAGTAGCTTCTTTTTGGAAAATCTAAGTTAAACTAGTGGTTTATGCCATAATAACTGCTAATTTATGTATTTGCAAAAGGTACTTTTGTATCTGCTATGTATTATAGCAATAAAATAATCATTTTGTTAGGAAAAAAATCAACTGGTATTCTTTCTTAATTTACTGATTTGATACAAATATCCTTGTTCTGAATTCTGCATTGTTATATAACCAGCCCTATGCTCAGTTAAACCTTTTCTGTGTTCCCTATTGGTAAAGGAAACGCCAGCTCCCTCATAGAAAGGGAAAGAAAACTGAAGTATTAACTGTTAAAAATGTTTTTATTTCTTAGTAGGCAGAATTTTACGAAAAGTCAAATTGACCCGTGGAGCCAGGATTTTCTTTCTGATGGGAAGACTGTGATACCAGTGAGTGTTGGTTGGGTGGTTCATCATAAGTAAACTTCCATGGGCCAGCTGGAGCCTGACCACCTCCACCCTCCTGGAGGAGTGTTTCCCTCGAGAATCCTTATGCCGGAAGAAGAAGTCTCTGCAGGCACCAAAGGAGACAGAGGCAATGGGGCTCCCAGGGGCCAGTTCCCTTTCATCATCTCGGTGCTCCCCTATGTGGTCACAGCCATCTTTGTACCTGCCAGGAGAAAGCAAGCACAGTTCATAAAAACAACTCTCTCCTGAAACTTTCCAATGCAGCAGACCCCTTGCTTTGTTTTGAGACAGATTCTCACTCAGTAGAGTGCCATGATTTCAGCCGAGCTCACAGCAACCTCAAACTCCTGGGCTCAAGCAATCCCCTTGCCTCAATGTCCTAAGTAGTTGGGACTTGAGGTGCACACCACAGTGCCTAGCCAGTTTTTAGAGTGGGGTCTCACTCTTGCTCAGGCTGGTCTTGAATTCCTGAGCTCAGGTGATTGACCCGCCTTGACCTCCCAGAATGCTAGGATTATGAGTGTGAGCCACTGTTTCCTGCTTAGACCCCATGTTTTCTGACAGTGTGAACCAGTGCTGTGTTGACCACTGTCCCTGCTGTGTTTCTGCAAGGGCAATCCTTAGCTGCCTCTGTAGATGAGTTGGCCCTGAAGCATCTTCACTGTTACCTAGTACTATTTGTTCATGTGCTTTAAAACTGAAGACACCAAAAGCCCAAATCTTGACTTACAGCATTTCCCTGGTTCACACACGACCACATAGACTGATTTCTCCCTACGCTTAGTCCGTATTCCTTGTGCATTCTGGCCCTTGCTGTCTCATACCCTTTTTTCCCTCTTCACTGCTTTCTGGCCATAGTGGCAGGATGTCTGCTCCTCAGACACTCCAAGCTCCCTCTGGTCTTCTTCCAGGTGTCTGTGGCTCATGCCCTCCATTTAGTTATCAGCTCAGATGTCCCTGCCTTAGAGGCCCTAACCATTTCATCTAAAGTGACCTTCCTCTATGCCCAGGTTTCTTGACCAAGGTGATTCTGCAACCATGGGACAGACACGGGGAGGGGTGGAGATGCTCCTGGCAGCTAGTTGGTAGAGGCCAGGTAGAGCTCAGGGTAGAGGTTGAGCACCCTGCAATGCCCAGGGGAGTCCCCACAACAAGGTATGATTTGGCTCAAAACATCAGTAATGCTGCCACTGAGCAACTCTGCCTTAAACCCCAAACCCTTCTCAGCCATTCTCCTTCAAATCAGCCTACTTAAATTTGCTTCAGGACAGTTGATCACTGTTTGAAATGATTTTTTTCAACTATTTATTTAGGAGTTAATCACCTCTCACTTTCTGCTGCAGAGGAAGCTCCAAGAAGACTGACTTTGCTGGTATTACCCCATTACTATACCGCACTAAAGACTGATTTGTTGTACAAATGAACAAAATACGGTGGGATTCTAAACTCTTCCTTTTGGAGGAAAGTAAAGATTTACAACATTTAGTCCTCTGAACAAGGTAGCGTATCACCTATTGATGAGCACAAAGTTGAAAGTTTGTCCAGTCACCCCAGAGACACGATCCCGGACGAGCTCTAGAACTGGGATCCACGGCTTCGGAGACAGTGTAAGGCCTGAAAACGTGTAGGTCAGCCCAGTGTCGCCATATGTTGCCTGCTTCCTTGGCACGCTGTGCCACTTCCCGAATACCTGGACCCTGGCCAGGGCACCTGTGCAGATGAAACACAGCAGGTCCATCCCTCTTGAGCCCCTCCCCCACAAACCCAGGCAGGTGAATGCCCAATATACTCCCTGGGTATTCAAAATTGAAAGGAAAGTAAAACAGGAATAACATCTCCTGTGTCATTCAATGTAACATAATGCTCTGCTGAGCAGCCCCTCAAAAACTGTGGCTTGCCCCAGATTTCTTTTGCAGATGTCATGGAACTGCTGACTGCCCCAAATTTTCAAGACCGGTGACTCTTGTCCTACACTTAAAGAGACACAGTCCTAAGCTCTTTTTTTGTTAAATATAACTCCATTGCCTTAACTACAATAAAAGCAGATTAGGAGGCTGAAACATGAGCCCCATGTAGTTTAGTTTACACAGTAGGGTAGTTTTGTCCACTGTGAGGACTAAGGGCCTGTGGGGCCTCATACAGGCCCCGCTAAAGAATGGGGTCTCCTTTCTGCACCTTCTGAAGTACTTCAGCAATCCCTGTCTTGTGTATTTGTCACAGGGTAGAGCAGCAGTTCTCAGTGTGGTCCCCCTGCCACCTATATTACCTGGAGGCTCCTTAGAAAATAAACTGTAGGGGTGGGGCCCAGCAGTCAAAATTTGACCAGAAGTCCTGCAGGTGACACTGAGAACTATTAAGTGTAGAGGAATTACCTGGTTACTTGCCATCTCTCCCACTAGACCAGTGGTTCTCAGCCCCTGGTTGCACATTAGAATCACCTGGAAGCTTTTTAAAAGCACTGATGCCCAATTCCTAGCTATTCTGATCAGTTGGTAGAACGCAGAATGTTGTTTTTAACTTTTCCAGGTGGTGCCAATAGGTAGCCAAGTGAAAATTCACTTTAGGCATCTATCATCACCCAGGGACCAGGCAAGCCTGTACTTTTTCAAGTTTGTATCTCAAACACCTAACAAGGGGCTTGACACAGAGATGCCCAGGGAACATTTGTTGACTCCATTAGTGAGCCCTCAGTAATCAATGGTTCAGATTTCTCCAAACATAGGTCATCAGTTTTATCAAACAAGCCTCCCTAGATACACAGTGTACTCTGCTTACCTGTAAAATATTCCACTTCTTTCTCCAACTCTCGGAAAATCTCATCCGCCTCGGCTTTGCCAAACAGGATGGTGTAACTGCAGTCCAGGCCCTCTGCCCGAATGTGCTGCCAGCTGGGGTCTTCCAGGTGGACCCCACTTCCAAGGGTCTGTCTTCTGGGCCTCTTTCTTGTGCTTTCGTCATTATCATCACCTCCAGACACAGCTGGTATTTCTCCCGTCCGTTTTTGCTCCTCTCCCTTCCACAAAAGGCCCCTTTGAGCCCCCCTCACCAGGAATCTGTCCATCTCCTTGTCTCACAGGAAAGAAATGGTCATCAGTGGCAAGGCAAAGAGATACCCAGGTTCTGTCCCCAGTGCAAAAATCTGTTCACCAAAGTAGTCCCACAGCAGCATTCCTAAACTGCCATTTCAAAGATTAAGTCCATATCCTAAAAAAGGAAGCAGAGGACGGTGAAGCTGGAGGGGCCCCAGGGGACAATCTAGTCCACTGTCTCCCACACCCGGATGGGCATCAGGATCAGCTGGCTAGCCTGCAAGAACCAAGATGCCTGCACTGCGCCCCACAATTTCTGAATTTTAAAAGAACTCTCTCCCGGGAATTTACATACCACAACCGAATTTAGAAATTACAGGCCAAGCCCTCATTTTACAGCTGGGGAAACTGACAGCCAGAGAGAAGTTTGACCAAAGTCACCCAGAAAAGCAAGCTCCCTATCTTTTACCTACCCGGTTAAAAGGGAGAGATAGATAAATGACCGCTCCGCCCCCTCCGGTATTAAAACAAATATGTACAGTGATACTCAAATGTAAACGATTCAGTACTTACATGCAAACCAGTTAAATAAGGTCAAACACAATTTTGACAATAACTTGTAACACGTGCGTGGGGTGACGGTGGCAAGGTTCTCTTCAGAATCTCAGCCTGCAGCGGCGCAGCTCCGAATCCAGCAAACACCCTGCCCTAGGGGCGAGAAAAACGCTCAGCCGCACGTCTGCTTCCGCGTGGGTTTCCGCCGCACGTCGGGAAGCGCAGGGGAGTCTGCAAAACAGGTCGCCCGGCGGCCGCCGACGCCGCCTGCTGGCTGCTCCAAGCGTCGGGAGCATTGCCCTGTGCCTGTATAATGTTGGTCCTGCTGTCAAGGATCATCTATGGTTTGAGAACCATTGTTTGGTGTCACTTCTCCCTTGGGGCTATCTTGGTGTCGGGACAGGGAGTTGGGGACCGCATACTGTCGCTGGCGATAACACGAGTTCCTCAGTCAGATCGCATGGCTTCTGTTTCTGTCTCCTCCACGGTAGCTGTGTGAGCTCTCACAGGTCACATAACCTCTCTGGGCTTAAATTGCCCATCTGGAAAGCGGGGACTACAACACCCATGTCATGAGAGTGCCGTGAAGATTAAATGACAGCATGTGCCAGAAGTTCCACTGTGCTCCAAATGTT